CAGCTCCACTGACACAGTCTCCTCACCAGCCCTGGGGTCTGGACCGGACAACTGATCGGAGGAACTAAGGGAGCAGGAGAGTGGCCATAGCCAGAGGAGAGCAGCCACAGCCGGCGACCACACCTGGAGCCCAACATGGGGTTGGGACCCCCTCCCCACAGAGCTGTAACACTCTGAGCTCTAACACCTTGGGCTCCCGTTGCCCCTGTTCTAGGTGCTCTTCCCATGGTTGCTCGCTGCTTTCGTTTTGTTTTGCTTTTTCTTCTGGCTCGCGATCTTTGGTTGGGTGTGCCATTCCTGTCTTCACCGATTGTCTCCTTGAATGGTTCCTGAGTCCCTTTGGGTACATCTTGCAGGGTGAGTGACCTCCGGTATGGGGAATAGTCATCCAGCTGCTGCCAGCCCCTGCACTGCTGCACTGGTTTCTCTCCTCAAGAGTAGGCAAATTAGGGTAACAGAAAAGGATATAACTAAGATTTTCGATGAAGCACTAGCTCTTGCCCCCTGGTTACAGATTCATGTTGCTGGGATCCTGAACAATGGGCTTCCATTTTATTCTTGGCCCAGCATAGAGAAGTCAGGGAGGGACACCCACAGTCTGGGCTGTTCTACCTCATTGTGGCAGCCATTCTGGCATCCCTTTGGGGGGTCCCCCCTGCAGCCCCTGAACAGGACAATCTCCTATTAAAGGAGATAAATGAGCAAATACAACAACAGGACACTGGGGACGACCTGTCCCAGGCATTTCCAGTTAAAACAAAACTAACAGATTCTTGTTCTGATGAAACTATGACTGTTAATGATGATATAAAAAATGAGGAATTGGGGTTTGAGAGCTCCCCTGATGAAAAACAGGAAGTCAAGATTGCCTCTGCCCCGCCATTACAGGGCAGTGACTACCCTCCTCCATCTTGTATTGGCTTTGATGAAAAACAGGAAGTTAAGGCAGCCTCTGCTCTGCCATTATAGGGCAATGGCTACTTTCCTAGCTTTAAGGAAGTTCCCCCCCAGTCCATCTACCCCTCCCTTCCAGAGGAGGACTGGAAGCCCTTCCTGCCTAGGCCCCTCTTCTATGATACAATGGGAGATTTTCCACAGTTCTTCCCAGTTACTATCAGGGACAACAGAACCCCAATCTCTGGAATCCATATTCTCATGATACCTTAAGGAAGCTGAGTAAGGCAGAAGTTGAGGATGGCATTCACTCCCCCTGCGTTGGTCAGATATTCTGATTGGCAGAATATCTCCCATGCCTGCTTACAGGGAGGCAATTTCCATTTATGG